TTGTTTAACTGTTACTTTACTATAGGTTCCATACTAAAGTAAGCAAACAGTTGAAGAAACTAAAGTTCTAGAACTCTTGCACATTGTAGGTCTCATGCAACTCTAGTGGAATTAGATCCAAGTCCCTAGATCTGTGGATGGGATCCTTAGAAATGTTACCAGTTCTCGCCTGGAAGAACTGGTAGGAACATATTCAGCTAGGAGCTAATTTCTTGCCTTAGTCCATGGGGATTCAAGTGGTGCTGCTCCTTAGTTGGTGTTCTTGGTCTCCCTTCTCCTCACTCCAGGGTTAATTTTTTTTGGTGGGGTGAGGGGAGTGCTAGGCAAGGGCTCTCCACCACTGCACTGCCTCTCCAGCCCTGATCTTGATCCTTAAACTATCTAAGAAGAAGCAATTCCTCTCCCGAATTTCTCTGTACTTGGTTCTTGGATCTTGATCTTTTCCTTCACCCCCTAGGTAGGTAAGATATTTTCCTGTCTCTCCCCCAGAGACATTTTTCCACATCTGTAGAGAGTTCTGCACTGGCCCTGCACGCTGCTGTCTTGCCTTTATTGGGGGATTTGATGATTTCTGCATCCGCAGGTCCCACCTCTATTCTTGGCTAGCTTCTCTAAGATTGGTCTAAACTACCAAAGTAGTTGACTACCCTTTAGTGAAATTCAACCTCTTCACCTCTCATTTAATCAACTAATATTTACAAAAGGCCTGTCATTCAAGGCCACCTCTGGGCAGACTCCCCGCTAGGAGCCCATATTCTTTACCTCACTTAGTCCTCCCAACAACTCACTAGGGAAAGGTCATCATCCCCATGTTATAATGAGGATGCTGAGTCTTACTGATACTTAAGCAACTAGCTCAAAGTCACAGACAAAAGAAGCGGTAGAGCTGGAGTTTGAACATATTTCTATGTCTAAGCACTTGCTTTCTCATTTACTCTGAGGCTTCTATCTATAGCGCAGTAGTTTGGAGCTCAGACTCTAGAAGCAGGCCAGCTTAAGTTTAGAAACCTAGCTCTGCCATTTCACTGCAATGCAATCTTGAACAAATGAACGAGCCTTTCTAGGCTTCGTTGTTCAACTGTATTGTTTCCTGTTGTGAGAATCTCAGACACGGTGCCTGGCATGTTAGCACTAATATCTAGGCCTAGTCTCACCTGTAGTCATTCAGTTTCTTTGGTAGCACGCTGGGAAATGGTCTGTCATACACTGATTGCTTCCACTGCCACAGCACAGAGTGAGGGACACTGTTAGTTCCCAGCTCATTCGCAGAACAAAGGCAACTGTCATGCAGTGGGTCACTGAATGATAAACCCTCCAAGTCTCAGATTTTCAGTTATCCCTTCTGCCTTCTTCCTTACACTGCTTTCTCTCCCCTTTTCCTGACTCAAAGGAACTCCTCCCTCCTCGACGGTGGTCTTGTGGAATTCTTCTTGTCATCACTGTGCTAAAATATCAAGCATGCCAAAAGTACACAATAAAAATAAGAGATGCTATCTATTAAAAGAGAAATGCTGTTCTGTCTTATTCATATTGGGAGAAAATTCTGAAGCTCTCAGTACCCCTCCTGAAACTGGAACTTCAAGTATCTCCTTTCACAGCTGAAAGAAAACAAGTCTTTTCCCCAGTCCCAACATCTTTATGATGCTCAATCTTCTGGAAAGAGGAGACGCTCCATGGTGAGGACTTCTAATGACCTCTCGGCGCCAAGAGGTAGCAAAAACATCTCTCTTGGAAACTGTGGGACACGATTGTTGGGTGCAGTGTAGCCAAGACTTTCCATTGAACTAACAGACCAGTTAAAAATCCCTCTCTGTCATCAAGAGTTTTCCAGACAGGCCTAGATTGTATAACCATGATCATCTTTCTACTGACCTCTTAGGTCAGTTCAAGAATTCTATTTTGGGTGAATTTTCAGTCCTACCTCTTGTCCCTGAGGCGTCTGGGGTGAAAGGCTGCGTCAATACAGGGGTTGTCAGGTCCTGTCATGTAGGCGGTGGAGGGGAAAATGTTGGTGGCCACAGCAGCATCACTGTGTCTTGGTTGGTGGGAACCGGAGTCAGAAGACACTTTGGTCCTCCCAGGCAGGGTGGGTCTTATGTCAGAGGCAATCAGCTGTGCCTGATGGTTATGGTTTAACCTGCACTTTTCTGGATAGGAAGGAAATAACTATGGCTTGAGCCCTTGGAAAATCTAATTGGCCTAAAGGTCTGAGGATGTTCCTGGCCTGGTTGGTGGTGGTTACTCCACCCAGGATTGATTTTGAAGGTGGAAAGACTCTGTAGGAGCCAAAGATACAATTCATTTCATAACTCTTTGCTGATTGCCCCCTAGGTACCAGCCGTTCTATGCCCAGCTGGAGATGGGGCTATAGAAATGAATGACACAACTGCTTTCTCTAGGCTGCCTACATCCTAGTGACTGGGCAATGCTGGCTTGACACCTCCCAGAAAGCACTTGTGTCCCCAGTGGACCTCCTTCACATGTGGTCCCCTTTAGCACTCTGGGGACATCAGCGTCCTGTGATTGGCTTCCCATGTTGAAGCCAAACTCTGAGGCTCTAGGCTCTGGAACGCAGGAAACAGAGCAGGATTAGTGAAAATGGAGGCCAGAACCCCTTTTAGAGGCCAGAAAAGGGACTTCTTGACAGTGGATGTTTCCCTGGAACTCTACCTCCTGCCCCAGTCCCAGTCACCCCCTCTTGTCTTCCTTCCTTCCAGCCACCCTTGAAAAGGGCATGGATGAGGAAAGACCAGATGCAAACCTCACTGCTTTAGAAATGGACAACAAACCCCACAGAAACCCCGCCTGTTTGGATAGGGATTGGTTGGAATGAATCCCTGTCAAAATTTGGTCCCCAGACTCTACTGGCTTTCATTGTCAGTAAATGCACTATTAGTCAGCATACTGGAAATTTAAAAAATGAACATCTGTACTCAATGGATTTGCCTGGGCTATCTAAGCCCATCTAAGATGGGTCAAGCAAGCCTGGTTTTTAAGGCCAGTGTCCTCTATTGAAAACTGACTGCTCTCTGGGTTAAAAAATGTGCTTTATTCTTAGCCATTTTCACATTGAAGCCATTCTGCTTTACTTCTAAGATCAGCACCTGCTATGTATGCATCTGCTGTATTATGAGCAGACATTATATCGAAGCTGCTTTGTGTTGTCAACATGTAGGACCATGCTTGGTAGAGAGGAGATGCTCTTCTTTCATTAAGCTGAAATTAAACATGCATAGGGTCAGGAACAGAACCCCTGTATTCCAGCCCTCTTTCACCTTCCGCTCCTCTGCCACCATTTGCAATTAGTTGTGTGTCGTCTTGATCCTTACCTCCTGCTGTCCTCCAATCTTCTAGTCTAGAGTTACAGGAAAGTGGGCTTTGAGTCATGCAGGTTCAAATCCATTTTACCATCACGGGATTGTCACTTTATATCACCAAGCTCCCATTTCCAACGGAGAATAACTACTATGACCTTTACATGAGTTAAGTAAGCCACCAAGTTTATAGCACATGTTCAGCAAGGGCTCATTCAGTTTTTTTCCTCTTTTAAAACTCTTCTTAAATCCTGAGAAGAGTGGGTCCTTGACAAGCACCTCTGGCTACACATTAAGTCACCAGCTCCAACCCACTGCAGAATCCAAAAAGTCCCATCTGCCTTGATACTTCTACGTTCTTCACATTCAAATCACCCCAGGGCTTCCCAATCGGTATTTTCTAACCTAAGGAGTGTTTCCTTAGATGTTGACATAAGACAGTTACTTGAGAAAGAGCATCTAAGCTACTGAGAGTCTACCTGACCCACATTTTAGTGGCTCTCAAATGTCTTCTCCTAGCGCCTCAGTTCCAAACTGTCCAGCCACCAGTACACATCCCCCCGGAATGCCTCACAGGATCTCCAGCACAGCACATCCAAAGAAGAACTTCAATTTTGTTCCCACCCAAGTCTGTTCTTCCCTATCCCTTCCCATGTCAGGAAACGGCACCACAACCCACTCAGTTGCTCAGATTACAATTCTAGGAGTCACCTTACTTTCGCTAATTCCCTGTGTCTGATCTGCGAGACTTCTCAGTCCCATCCAAAATCTATCGCCTCTTTTCCTCTCTGAGCTAGCAGACCTGCCCCTGTCTCTCCTGGAGTCTGGGCTGCAGCATCTGCTTCCACCTTGGTCCTGTCCTCCACACAGCAGTCCTCCTCATGGGCCTTCTAAAATGTAAATCAGATTGTATCACTTTATCTCCATAAAACATTGTTTTTAAACATTTTGAATAAGAACCAAATCCTTTCCATAAATGTCCCTCCATAGTCTAGTCCTCGCCCGTTCCTCTGACCCCCATCTTCCCCTGCCTCAGGGACTGTGCCTCTCACTGTCTCTATTGTAGTGGGCGCCAGTCAGGCAGGTGCCCCACCCGCCTCATCTCCTACGGTTCCCCCTACAACCCAACCAGGCAAGTATTCATCGCTGTAAAATTAGTGCAAGGGTTGAGAGAAAGTGTTTGGTGCTAGCAGAGAGTAAGTGATGGACAAATGTTAGACTCCCTGCCTTGTCTTTTGTTCCCATGGTGGGAAATGGATGAAGGGGCGAGGGTGGGGGCTGCAGCCCAGAATGGCCTCACTGGTCAGGAGTAGGACCCAACCTGAGCCCACCATCCCCTTATTCACACTCTCTTAGCTACGAACCTACCACCTGCCCGCAGGCGGTGCTCGAGTCAAGAAGGGCAAGTATGTGGGGGTTGGGGTTGCTGAACGGGTTAAGAGGTTTCTTCCCAAACCTGGCCCTTCCTGGCTGGCATCTGCCTCTGTGGGCTTAATGAGAACTCCAGGCACTTCAGAGACTGCAAATAACTTCGAGGGCTCCGCTAACTCATTCAGCAGGAAGACCCAGAGCTGCCAAAGCTTCAGGGAAGATAAGTGAGTGGAAAGAAGGTGGTTTTTATAGCGTCAGGCAGACGGAAGGATTTTGTGAGGAGTGTGAGCTCCTCCCCCGCAGAGGAGCTGAAAAAGCCCAGTCCCGGTCTCAGTCTCGTCTTGGTCTCGTCCCTTCTCTGCACTATATTTGATTAGGAATTTGGGGGCGGGCCTTGGCCTGGCACCGAGGCGCACACTCTCTCTCCCTCTCTGTCTCTCACTCTCTCTCTCTCTGTCTCTCTCACACATTCTCCTACCCGAGGAGGCCAGACAGGGGGACGTGGTCATTCTCTGAAAGGTTCAACTTGAGGTAAGTTCAGTCATTTTACTTTGGGGTTCGTCCCTTGTGATTCATAAAAGAAAGGAAAGGGCTAGGTGTAGGGAGAGGGGCAGGCAGGGAGAAGTCATCCCCCTCCTTCTTACCATGACCCCAGGATGGTGGAGAGGGCCAGGGGACCGGGAGGAGTTGTCCTGGCCGGTCCTTTTCTCCTACAGCCTCTTAATGGGTGTGGGTCCCCTCCAATTTCCAGGCATGAAGAAGCTTCTTGGGACACTTTGAGGGTACTCTATGAGTGTCCCTGAAGTCTTTCTCAAGGGTTGTGGTAGTAAATGCTGTGAGGGAGTATGTATGCAAGTTTTGTGCAGTATGTGTGTGTGTGTGTGTGTGTGTGTGTGTGTGTGTGTGTGTGTGTTCCTGGAGTGAAAGGAGAGAATAAAGCAAAGAGCTAAGCCTTGGCTGGGTTCAGGTAGCTGTGCATCAAGGGGGTCTCACCCAGGAGGGAGGGGTCTGGATGGACCTCCTAGGCTCTGGTAGGGGGAAGAGTTCTTCTGCTCGAGTGGACACATGGCGTGGAAGCAGAGGCTCCTGAGTGCCAGTCTGGGAGCTTTGCATCATGCACAGGCTATGGTGGTCTCCAGCGCGCTGGGAAACAACTGAAGAGTCCAGGCCTGAAACAGCAAGGCTATGAGACAGAGCGGGATGAGGACAGGCACACGCCACCCTCCAAACTCCCAGCAGCCATAGCTCTAAAGAGAGGCCAAAGTGGCAGGATGTGCAGCCCCTGGAAAGCTGGGTCTTGCTGAGGAAGGTGGCTCTCATCTGCCAAGGTGCCCAGTCTAGAAGAAGGAGAAATGGAGACAGAGGTTCACTGTGCCAGCCCTCCAGACAACCACCTTGGTCCTGCAGCAGCCCAGGGCTGTGCATGGAAAAAATGTGCTTTTGGCAGTGGGCCGCTCCATCCTTCTTCCCTCCTGGCTACAGCCAGTGACCAGCCAGCGTGCCCAGGCAGTGGGCAGTTGGGTTTGCCTCTCAGAAACACTGTAGCTCTTTGTCTGAGGCCTGTGGCTGCCCAAGGATAGGCCTGTGGCTGCCCAAGGATAGGGTACCCGCTTCTCAGCAGCCCAGGAGCCGACAGGATGAAGCAGGCTTAAGGGAACTGTCTTCAGGGACAGAGAGGAAGGTATAGTGGCCATAGGTGACTGGGTGGAGCGTCACCATCAGGGACCTTCTCATTAGCTCATTGGATTCAAAGTTGCTGTAATACACCTGCCTTTTTCTTATCCCTAGTTGCCAATACTAGCAAGACCCCATAGAAATTTTAGAGGTATGTGTCACTCTTTCAGGCCAAGAAAGGTTTAAAGCTTTTTCTGTCCCAGGGTGACACAATGGAAGATTCCCACTGCCCACAGGGGCTTGACAATAGACTGGTTCTAGGTAACTGGGTTAGGGTTAGGGTTAGGGTTAGGGTTAGGGTTAGGGTTAGGGTTAGGGTTAGGGTTAGACAGGGTTAGGGTTAGGGTTAGACAGGGTTAGGGTTAGGGTTAGACAGGGTTAGGGTTTTGGTTAGGATTAGGGTTATGTTTATGCTTATGCTTAGGGTACCAGCATTTTATATGCTACGCGTTTGTTCCTCATCTCCCACACCTTCAGTCTCCTTCTCAGATAACCCCAGGTCTCACTTTGTCCCCCAGCTGCTCTGCTCTCATCTTACTAGCATTGCAAGGCCAAAAGCAACAGGCTTCCCAGCAGTGCGCACCGTAGATACAGAGCCTGGGACGCTAGATGTCACTCTTGCAGTACGCAGCTTGGTACAAGAGAGGAGGCACTAGAACACCCTCCTGAGTCATGTTCCCTTGGGGACCCTCTTATCCCCATCCTCACTTCTATTCCGACTTTCGGTATTCCTTGTTCACTTCTCTGGGCCTCTATTGGCTCCTGCCTAGCAGGAGGAGCACCCACTGTTCCCCAGGCCCCACAAAAGACAGAGGTGAGAAATAGCCAAAACCCCACACCCTCAGTGTCCACTGGAGACAAGCGTTCACGCAGTGCCAGTGCTTCTGGTCCAGGGAGTATCTGTAGCCATTCCATGGAGACCAGGAGGTATTTGTAGCTAGAAGCTGCTATCCAGTCTTCTCGCCTAGCCGGCTGTTACAAGCAGTGGCTCTTTGGAAGGTAGCCCAGTCCTGTGGTGGCTGCAGAGGGACCATCCCCCTCCCCAGACACTAGGACCAGAGCCCTCAGCCTGCCCAAGAGACCGCAAAATCTCCCAGAAGTCCTTCAGACTTCCCCTTTGCTGTCTGAAGCCATTTCAGGAGGTTTCCCAGAGACAGAGACAGCAAGAGCCAGAGGGATTTTCCTGGACTCTTAGAAAATGTTATTTCCCTGGGAGTGCGAACTGGGTGAGAAGTCAAGCCTGAGAGCAGCCCACCTCCACCACTAACCCCCTCCACACACTAGCACATGGACACATCTACATGCTGCATGCATACAGCACACACACGTACACATATGCATGAATGCACACACACATGCACAGGGAGTATTGCGGGCTTCCCAGCTTGTGCAACAGCCCTTCCAAAAAATGCAACCGCCTCCCACTCAAGCTCCTTCTAATCTCCCAGATTGTTCTGTGACTCTGCTTGGAGCAATGCGCTTAGGTTACCCCAGAGAGCTGGGGTCTAGCAGGACCAAGCAAACAGAGCGGGGAAGGGAGTGAGCCCCACACGGCAGAGTCCGTGTTCTGCCTACCCCGCTCCCTGCCCTCCTGCCGTCTCATTCATGCCCACCTGCTCTGTGCCCTCTCCCTTCCCACAGAGACAGAATGCAGTGGCTGTCCGTCCTGCTGCTGGCAGGGCTCTGCTCCCTCTCCTGGGCCCAGTATGACGAAGACCCTCACTGGTGGTTCCAGTACCTCCGCAGCCAGCAGTCCACCTACTACGATCCCTATGACCCTTACCCATACCCGTACGAGCCCTCGGAGCCTTACCCATACGGGGTGGAGGAAGGGCCAGCCTATGCCTATGGCTCCCTGCCCCCACCAGAGCCCCGTGACTGTCCCCAGGAATGCGACTGTCCCCCCAACTTCCCCACAGCCATGTACTGTGACAACCGCAACCTCAAGTACCTGCCCTTCGTCCCCTCCCGCATGAAGTACGTCTACTTCCAGAACAACCAGATCACCTCCATCCAGGAAAGCGTCTTTGACAATGCCACGGGGCTGCTGTGGATCGCTCTCCATGGCAACCAGATCACCAGTGACAAGGTGGGCAGGAAGGTGTTCTCGAAGCTGAGGCACCTGGAAAGGCTGTACCTGGACCACAACAACCTGACTCGGATGCCCGGCCCCCTGCCTCGCTCCCTGCGAGAGCTCCATCTCGACCACAACCAGATCTCCAGGGTCCCCAACAATGCTCTGGAAGGGCTAGAGAACCTCACAGCCTTGTACCTCCACCACAACGAGATCCAGGAAGTGGGCAGCTCCATGCGTGGCCTCCGGTCCCTAATTTTGCTGGACCTGAGTTACAACCACCTCCGGAGAGTGCCTGACGGGCTGCCCTCGGCCCTCGAGCAGCTGTACCTGGAGCACAACAATGTCTACACCGTCCCCGACAGCTATTTCCGGGGCTCACCCAAGCTGCTATATGTGCGGCTGTCGCACAACAGTCTCACCAACAGCGGCCTGGCCACAAACAGCTTCAACGCCAGCAGCATCCTGGAGCTCGATCTCTCCTACAACCAGCTGCAGAAGATCCCCCCTGTCAACACCAACCTGGAGAACCTCTACCTACAAGGCAACAGGATTAATGGTGAGACTGGGCAGAGGGGCGGGGCTGGCGGGTGCTTCCTGAGTCTTCGTGCAGAGTAGAAAGGGGGAGGCAAGGTGGGAGCACGGAAAGCCACCAGCCTGGTGCGGTGATACACACCTGTAATCCCAGCTACACAGGACGCAGAGGCAGGAGTATCACAAGTCGGAGACCAGCCTGGGCAACTTAGTGAGCCCCTGTCTCAAAATCTAAAAATAAAAAAGGGCCAGGTGTGGTGGTGCACACCTGAAATCCCAGCACTTGGGAGGCTGAGGCAGGAGGATTGCAACTTTGAGCCCAGCCTGATGGGCAAATTTAGCAGTTTGATGAGACCCTGGCTTAAAATAAAATGTTGAGAAAAAGAGCTGGAGATCAGTGAAAAGGCCCTGGCCTCCATCCCCAGTACCAATAAATAAATAAATTTTTGAACTAAAATTTAAATTTAAAAAGGGCTGGTGATATATCTCAGTGCAAGGCCCCGGGTACAATCCTCAATACTGAAAAAAAAAAAAAAAAAAGAAGAAGAAGAGGGGCTGGGGATTTAGCTCAGTGGCAAAGCGCCTGCCTGGCAAGTGCAAGGTCGTGAGTTCAGTTCCTGGTACCGGAGAAAAACCAAAAACCCCCCCAAAAAAAAAGAAGAAGAA